AACAAACTTTCTAGACTGAAGATGCTGCTTGGACAAGCAGCAAAACGTATCAGACCCAAAGAAAAGAAGTCCAGTTGCCATGACTCCACCTCCAAGTAAGGGTGGGCACTTGCTGGAGCCTCCTTGAAGAAGCTGCATGTTTTCCTGCACTTGCACGGGTGCAGCAGAATCCCAAGAAAAGAGGCATTTGAAGGAAACATGCATTTCCCTGGAGCTGCAAGGCTATGCTTTGGGTCCAGAAGCCATGACCTCTCCAGCCCAACGCTAGATATTCCAGCATGCATTCTTTGCATCCACTCTCTCTGTCATAAAGATGGATCTCATGAACAAGCATCTCTGGACTCTTACTGAAGCTGAGATACCCCCTCCCCATTTTAAGACAAAGAAGTACTTTAAAAGAAGAGAGCCCCACCCCTCCTTGAGAAAGATCACAGCTCTACTACCTTTGATTTAACAGCAAGGATGATTTTGGGCAGGGCCACCACCAGGCACTTCAAAGCAATGGTGAGATACTTCAGGACGAAATCTGTAATCCCCACAATCCACATCAGGTCAAAAAAATCCAGCTTCTCCAGATTGGGCTTCAGGAAGATGAGGCTGGAAAATAGCAAATTGGCAGGAGAGGAGCTTCACCCGAGGGCACACTGATAGCCAGGTACCTTCCAAGATGACGCGCAGTTTTTTGTTTTAATGAAAAAGCATCCAAGTGGTACATCAAGCAGGACCAAAGATCTTGAGTCTCCTCTTAGGGTTAGGAGACAATCCAAACCAGATCCAAGACCCTCCTTTGCGCTGGACCAATGAACCAGTAAAGATCAGAAAGCAGAGTCTATCAAAGGCTGTTAATGAGGGACTTAGGATGAATGGACGAATATCTCCCACTGCTACCCTTCAAAGTGGAAAAAGAAATCCAAATACGGTATTTTTCTACGGAATCTGTTCCCCCACATTTTCATAAAACCTCCTGTTAAAGAGGCATGGTCTCACAAAAGGAATTCACCCCAGCCTTGAAACCAGAAAGTGTCTGATAGCGCCTTTTCAAACTGACCCATCTATCTCACAGGTAACCTGCATTTGCGAACTAATAACTGCTCATTTGCCTTTAAATTTAATTTAAATGCATTAAAATTAAAATTAAATTTTAAAACTAAAACTAAAGTTAAAAACTAAATTTAAATGCCAACTCCAGCTTTTGCATAAGTAATAACTAAAAGACAAAGCATATTTGTATTTACAGCATAAGGAACTGCAAATAAAAATTTGCAAAAAACATTTCTATTTCTCAAGGAACACAAAGTACGTTTGTGTCACCTTCAAGGGCAGCAACTGAGATCTTGTTTTCTGCAAATAAAAACTTCTACACTTCCTCTGAGTTATGTTTCAAATCTGGTTACAGGAGCACAGGCTTTCTGAGCAAATGGGATCAAATAAAAAAAATAACAGAGGGAAGGGAGAACTAAAACCAGAGTACTCACAATATGTCACAGCACTACGGGTAAAATTAAATCCTAAAAACAAAACAAAACAAGCCAAAATGAGTGACTTGGTTAAAAAAAAAAAACATGACAATAAAAGAAGAAAAACTCAAACTACAATCAGATCAATGAGGTAACGAAAAACTGAACAGAACAGAGGGCAAGGAGGGAAGAGATATGAAATGGATTTTAATTTGTACAGGTAGTCCTTGCTTAACGACCACAATAGGGACTGGAAAATTCGCTGTTAAGTGGGGCGGTTATTAAGTGAGTTGCACCCGATTTTATGACCTTTTTTGTAGCGATCATTAAGCGAATCACTGTGGCCATGAAGCAAATCACGTGGTTGTGAAGCAAATCACACGGTTCCCCACTGACTTTGCTTGGGGAAAGCTGGCTGGGAAGGTCGCAAATGGCGATCACATGAACCCGGGACGCTGCAACTGTTGTAAGTGCAAGCTGGTTGCCAAGCACCTGGATTGCGATCACATGGCCGTTGGGGTGTTGCGACAGTTGTAAATGTAAGGACCGGTTGTAAGTCACTTTGTTCAGCAGTGTTGTAATTTTGAACGGTCACTAAGTGAATGGTCATTAAGTGAGAACTACCTGTAGCAATTCAGACTTCAATGGGAACTTTGTCTCTTTAATTTTACTGCTTTTCGGTGTAACCCCATGGATTAAAAATCAACACTCATAAATATATTTTGGCATTAAGCATTCCCATGGTGGCCTTACAGGATAAGCAGGCAAGTGAAGTGAGCTGGAGAAGCAGGAACAGCAGAAAAATAATCTTTCCAGGGTCCTCTGATTCTCCACTTTGTAAAGAAAACGTGGGCTGCTGGAACCCCAGCAGGGCAAAGTATTTTCTCATCTGGTTTACAAGGCTGCATCACTATGGGATGGACCACATTCCCAACCAGGGATGGAAAACACTACTAGGGGAAGGCATATCTCCCTTAGGTTAACCTTACAGCCTACTAGAAGTCAATAGTGGGTGGTGGTACAACCTACCCTTTGGCTCACACCTTCTTTCTCTCCCTCCCTGCTGAGACCACATCTGTGCTGCAAACGTCTAGATAACCACTAGATGGCAGCCAAGGATTGGTGTTTCCCGTGTCTCTTGGTCGCCATCTAGCAGACGCCAAGATTCTTGCAGCCCAGACGGAGCAGGCTAGACATTGCTCTCTTGCAAGCAGGAGCTGCCAGGGATGGGGTAGACAGCTGTTGCTAGAGGCCTACAGGCTGCTCGTGAAATCAGGCTAAGGGCCAAGGACAACCTGCGGTCCTAGACTGCCTGCTGCCACCTTCCAACTTATCTTTTCTGGGGAAAAAAACACACCTTTCCTTCAGCAAAGGAAAACATCTTGTTTACCAGTTCTTCGGAACGTCAGAGCAGAAGGACGGACTTGTAAATTCATCTCTTGCCATCAGAGTAAGAGAGTACTCTCTTCTTCTCAGAAAAGCAAGCTGTTGGCTCACCTGTTATACAGCTGCTGGGAGTTGAAAGTGTAGAGCAAGTATAGGGTGTTCCCTGCGAGGAAGACCAAGATCCAGAAAACCATGAAGACAGACCTCTTTTCCTGGAAGGACAGAAAGACCAACACGTGACTCTCCAGCTTCTAACGTTTCTGCTAATTGTGGTAGCTACAAGAGCTGCCAACTTATTTTTAAACCAAACGAAGCTGATGGTTCCTGAGCCCATTTAACTCTAAGCAAGGCTGGGGTGTGATTTGGATAGGAGACCACTGGGGAATGTCACAGCTGTAGGCTACATTGGAGAGGCAACCTAGAAACATAGCAATGGCGAAGCACGTCCATATTGCTGCCAAGAAAACTGCATGGGTATGACTGCACGGTCAAGTTGGAGTCAAGCTCAGCTTAGGCCTGTCTTTATGTTTTACCCCTTTCCTTCCCCAGTGCAAAGTTCTTAGAAAGATAACCAAGTCTATTGAAAACAAAATTTAATTTAATTTATTCCATTTAGGCCCCACCTGAGTCTGAACTGACTCTTGACTATATACAATAAAACCAAACAGAATAAAAATACGATGATGATGATGATGATGATGATGATGATGATGATGATGATGATATCACTGCTGGTCCACAAAGGCCTTCATGTATTTGACACATCTGCTTGTTCATTATTACACTCTATTAAGAAATTATCTATCTATCTATCTATCTATCTATCTATCTATCTATCTATCTATCCATCTGTTGCTCATCCATCCATCCATCTGTTGATCTATCATCTCTCTCTCTCTCTTCATCTGTTGCTCCATCCATCCATCCATCCATCCATCCATCCATTGATCTAT